GAGCTGAACAGCAAGGCAGAACTGTTTTACATCCTAACTGAGAACCTTTCTAGATCAGATGAGAAAGTCTATCTAATGTTCTGCTTCTCATGCTGACGAACCAAATTATCAAGAGCGTGAAGGCACCAGCCCTCTATAGGTGTTTTTCCTCAGCAACTAGTCTCTGATTATTGAGCTCCTCTTTATATATCATGATTCAGTAGTCATTGGAATTCTTATCCTCCAGGAATTTATCTGGTCCATTTTTGAATCAGTGCCTTTGCCAAATTTGCAAATTTGTATTCCATACAACAATTGCACTTTATCTTAAGAACGTACTTTGTTAGAGGATAATTTCCCCCCTCTATCTGCCTTCTCCATACCGCACATAATTTTATTAACCTTTGTCAAACTCCCTCTTTGTCATCTCCCCCCCGTCACCCCCCAACCCCCCTAAAAATCCTCTAGGTTCTTTTTACAGTCTCCAGAGGCTTGTTTGTAAGTAAGATAATGCAGATGAGTCATTCACATGTAAATCTGGGCACTCCTGTTTACTCAGTCATTGGCTTTCCTCCAGGTTTAATTCGGAGGCTGTTTTGTTTTGTAATGGGAGTACAGTGGAACTTGCATTTAAATAAGGAAAAATGCTTACAGTGGAGCAACCTTTTCATTAAAATGTATCTTCATCAAGAATTGTTTGTCGGGTACTCACATCTTTTTGCTCTGCTACTTGAAAAACAAGCCCTGATGTTATAGTTCATGCTTATTAGAATCTAAAAGGCACGCTTTTCAGAAATAATTTCATTAAGGAGGCATTAAACCTAATACATGAAGTTACTGCACACTCGAGAGACTAAAAACTGCCCTGGCCAAAGCATACCATCACATATACATATTTTAAAAATGTGTTCTTGGGCAAATAATTTTTAAAAAAGAGGAAATGGAAAGCTAGCCTTGTGGATTAAAAGAAAAAGCTAATGGGCCACATTCTCTTTTAGACAGTGGGCTTTGACATGCCAATGTTTGGCAGTGCCAGAGCAAAGATGGGCAGAACAATGGATGAAGGAAACAAGATGGAGTGATTGCCACCAACCTGGATGGCTTTTTAAAAGGATTAGGCAAATTTATGGACAACAAGGCCATCAGCAGCTACTAATCATAGAATCATAGAGTTGGGGGGGGAAAGAGGGGTTGTGTTCCACCTCCATTGTTGGAGGCAATATGTGTTAAGTATAGTGATTTAATTTACTAAAATTGGGAATGCTCAAATGCATTACTGTGTGTTCAGTTCCGGAATGTTCCCCAGTAACGCTCATGTGACTGGTTAACTCTGGTCACAACACTGGAGGTTTCTGATTACATTCTCCATTTTATTTTGTATGTGAATGACTGCAATGGCTGCATCTCCATGATCACCAGAGAAGAGGCAGTGTTAGTGTTATATACTAAGCTTGGATCCTAGAACAATAGGCAGGTAGGATCGTAGAATGCAACAACTGATTGGCCTGCAGGAGAAGACCAATCAGGCTCAAGGAGGGAAGCAGAATCAGCCAATCAGACGGGACTCGTTGTGTAGATAATGTATATAAAAGCCTGAGAGGTTTGGGGGGAAATGCAATCACTGTTTTACAAGCTGCAATAAAGAGCATGAAATCACTGCAGGACTCTGAGTATATTTTAGATAGATAACTCTCCCTCTCTAAACACAATAGATGAGAGGAGAGCTAACGTTTCTGTGTGAATGTATGTGACAGAAAGAAGTACAGAAGTGGATGTTTTCCCATAGAAGCAGGAAGGAGAAGTCTGGAAGGAGAAAGTAGAAACCTCTCAGAAGGAACGACATGGCCTAGGTGGGCAATGTACGGAAGGCTGAGTGCAAGTACAGTGGTACCTCGGGTTAAGTACTTAATTCATTCCGGAGGTCCGTACTTAACCTGAAACTGTTCTTAACCTGAAGCACCACTTTAGCTAATGGGGCCTCCTGCTGCTGCTGCGCCGCTTGAGCACAATTTCTGTTCTCACCCTGAAGCAAAGTTCTTAACCTGAGGTAATATTTCTGGGTTAGCGGAGTCTGTAACCTGAAGCGTATGTAACCTGAAGCGTATGTAACCCGAGGTACCACTGTACTGGAAAGAGAGAAAGATGCTGTTTGTTCGAATGCTTAAGGAAGAAGCTGTAATCTTCAACTAGGTAAAACTAAGCCCATACTTGGATAAGCATGTGAATGTAAATACTTTGCAAATATTCTTCTTTAGCTGTATGTTCTGGAATTGCACATGATTTGTCTTCCTAGCTGCAATTTAGATACTCTGCCGATGGTATGCCTCTGAATGCAAGTTGCTGGGAATTGCAAGGGGGAGCACTGTTGCACCCCAGCCCTGCTTATGGGCTTTCTCCTAGGCTGACCACTGTGAGAAGAGGGTGCTTCTTATGTTCTTAATTTTACTGCTGTATAGTAATTACACACTTGACTAGTTTCCACCCACACCTATCCTCCATCCATCTAGGCAAGTGAGAGGGATCATCAGTTTACCCACCTTTGACCTAATACATTCAGTATCAATGCAATCCTTGCATGTGCAGACCAGAGCAGGAAACAGTGGGGGTGGACTTACATTTTGTACTCCACGCTTTAAAAATAATAATCCATTGGTTTCAATGGGATAAAATAAGTTACAGCCACTCCAAGTTCTAATATAGCTATAGCTGGAGATAGAGGTATAACAATTAAGAGCTAGCACTCCCTTCAGCACTTAGTGTATCTCTGTCATGTATAGGGAAGGGTGAATCTGTCATTATTGTTTCCCTTAAAGTTCTCCCAGTCTTAAATCCAGATCTCTACATTTTGACATTGGTGTATTTTATCACTGTTTAGGGAAGTTTTTAATGTTTGACATTTTATTGTGCTTTTAATATTCTGTTGGGAGCCACCCAGAGTGGCTGGGGAAACCCAGCCAGATGTGCGGGGTATGTATATTATTATTATTATTATTATTAATCATGGAAATTTGTCAGCATTTTAGTGCAATTTTCTCCCAATTTTGCATGCAGTTTTGACAAATGTAGACATCTAATGGGGAGTAATTTTCCCTAATATAGATCACATACTATGCAGAAGTACAAATTTCAAATGATAGTCTTGGTTTTAGGTATTGGTTCAAGAAGTGCAAATTAGGTCATTTATTATTGAAATGCAAACAAAATGGAATTTCTCTTCCATTCCTACCCATATAGCTTTCCTATCATCATTTTTTTGCAGCCGAAACATCAGGAAGTCTTTGTAGATAAGAAGAGAGCCATAGCTCCTGCATTATTTTTATTGTCTTTTTTTAGGCATTTGCCCCCGCCTCTATAGCATCCTTTTGAGATGAGATGACCAATGCTAAACACAATATTTTCAAATATGTTAGCATCAAAGGTCTTAAGAAAGGCATTTTCATGCTTCCCATTTTACAGTAAAAAATTAAATTAGCCTCACTACTTTCTTTCTTTTTTAAAAAATTAACCCGATGAGTTAATGAACATGCAGTTAAGCACTAAAGTCTCATTGATCTCAATGACATTTTAAGTTGGTTTAATTTCATCTGGACTGCGGCTATTACATTTACTCATGAATGCCGACCCAACATCTGCAGAAACTTAGCATGCAGATCTGCCCTTACCGAGTGTATTTTGAGATGTAATGGGCTCGTTTTAATTAGCCTCTCATCAGTTTAATATTTTTCTCCATCCATTTAGATACTGTGTAATAAGCACATCTGTGAATCACTTTGCTCTCATGCCCCAACGCTTTCTTATTCAGTGAATGATTGCTTATATACTGTAATGGTCCCCCTGGCAAATTAATGTCTTTGTGTAAGGAAAGTATTTAGCTGGTGCTTTTGTCTTTCTCAAATCTTCCATTTATGTTCCCATTAAATGGGTGCCTCTTCGCTGCATTGTTGCAATAAAAAATTAAATCCTAAACAATAAAGAAATAAAACCAGCGGCAGCATTTTTGTTTATTGGTCATTTACCTAAAATAGCCATTTTCAAACTTTCCACCATCAAGGAAGGAACTGTTTCCACATCAATTAGTCTGTCAAGCAACACCTGTGCATCTACCACCAACACTGCAGAAGAGTCAGGACATATTCTATTCTAGGGGGCGAATAAATTCCATGTGGCCATCCAGACCCTTCTTAAAAACCTTGAATGAAGGAGCTTCTTTCTTCTAAGGGAGTCCGTTCCACTGCTAAAAAGCTCACACCTTCAGGAAGTGAGCTCCCAGTCTTCAATTGAAATTCCTTTTCCTGCAGTTGGAACACACCAACTTGGGTCTCACCTTGTTGCGCAACTGAAAACCATATTTGCTCCATCTTCTGTGTGACAGCCTTCTGCAGGTTTAATGGTGGGTATCGCAGCACCTCTTACTTGTTTTTTCTCCAAGCTAAACATACCCAACACTTTCAACCTTTTCTCGTTGCACTTTGTCTCCAGGTCTCTCATCGTCTTTCTTCCCCTGTCATCAGGGAACCCACGGTTAGTGTCCAAGAAACCTCAGCAATCCTTATAACAGATTGAAAAGCACCATCTAGTATCACAATAGCCCAGGCATCCCCAAACTCGGCCTTCCAGATGTTTTGAGACTACAACTCCCATCATCCCTAGCTAACAGTACTAGTGGTCAGGGGTGATGCCTGCAATAGCCCTTTCCACCCGGGTGTAGAACTCGTTTCAGCCCAGGATTCACATTTCCTTCTGAGCAACCCTTGTGCCAGTGGTAATTTGGGTCAGAGGCAGATCAGTGCGTGTACATCTTATGTTTGTACAGTAGGCTAGTTGCATCACACTTGTACATCCTTACCTATCCTTTATCCAGGTAGGCAAGAGTCATTATGACATACCATCTAATATTTCTGGGCAGGAAAGCAGGACCAAAACACCCTGCACCCCACCCAAACTGCTCTCTCTCTTTCCCACCTCCAAAGTTGTGCATCCAATCTTCATGCTGTAGCCATCCCCGGCTGCCACCACCTTACCTTTGCCGGCTGTCTCTCCTTCTCCACCCCTGTGGTGGCTAGGCCTTGGCCATAGGCCTTTTCACAGCCTATCCTGCCTCGCTGCAGCCGGCAGATGTGGTATGCTCGCTTCTGGAAGTGTGCTGTGCCAACTTGCAGGTGTGCAGCAGCAGTGGAGGCCTTGGCAGAGGCTGCCCTGAAGGAGGCTGTGGAGGTAAGGAGGCAGAAGTGGGACATCCCAGAATTCAAACAGAAGCAGAGGCAGCTTCTGTGAATCCATGGTGTCCCGCTCAAATCAGGACTATTGAGTGGTACATTATGAGAGTTCAGTAACAGGCAGAAACACTCAAGCATGGCGCAAAGGTGGAGATTATGGCTTGAGTTAGGTCTGTGGGCCAGGCAGATAGGCCTGGACAGCTGCATTTGGGCCATGAGGCCTGAGGCTCCCCACCGCTGCCTTGCAGCAATCCTGACCGCAGGCCATGCTGGCTGCGACTGATGGGCATTGCAGTCCGAAACATTGGAGGACAGCAGTTTCAGGAAAGCCAAGTGTAAGCTATGCTGGTATTATTGCACACCTATTGCAAATTGAGAGTGGGGTCTAAAGCAAAGAAGTTGTGGCTTGCATAAGGCAAGCTGTGAAGTTCCTTGCAGAGGCGATAATTGAATCAGAGAGACTTGCTTCCCAGTTCATTACAGTGCAATCTCATGCATGTATGCCCAGAAATCAGTCCCATTTTTTCCAATGGTGTATGCTTCAAAATACATGTGAAATAGATTGCAGCCTTAGTCACTATGCTATGCCACCTCCTTCACCACTGAGTTTGTTAGGCCGTCGCATTCTGGTCCAATGGCTCAAACAGAGGAGCCAGTGCTAGAAATAATCAGTACAAACCACAGCAACGTGCCCCAGGCGTTTCTTCCGTAAGTGAAACCATGCGATGCAATTTTCCTGCAGAACCTGCCAGACCTCTGTGGGCCTGATGCTTGTACAATTACTGCTGAGATGAATTATATGAAGCATTCCATTCAACCAGAACAGGGATTACAAGGATGAACATATTACTGGCAGTAAGATTGATTTACGTGGAGGAGCTTTATGCTTTCCAAAAGGGCAGTCACTGGGACTATCACATTATGGTAAATTCTGCAAGGATGGTGTTTGATAATGTCCCCTATCTCTAGACCAATGACATTGCAGACACTTAAGGAAACATGTCATACATTAGGCAGGAGCAAACCGGCTAACTTGAAGGCAAACATCTGAGGAAAGTCTTATAGAGCTGGTGTTCAGCCTAGGGGGAAAGATTAGACTGGAAGATTACAGGAGGTCATGATAACAGAATACAAATATATAATAAGATGTCAGAAGCAGATGACACCCCATCTTCTGACAACGGGAAGAGAAGCAATAGATTTAAAATTCTAGCAAAGACCCAGAAGTTACGGCAATCCTTAGTTCCCAGGGATCTTTGCACTGAGAAGTTGTAGAGAGTTAGCCTTTGGAACCAAACCAGTGGGACCTGCAAGTAAAGGTTGCAATGTGAAACTCTGCCATTTAGGATCTCAGCCATGCCGTTTCCCAGGATATGCCATTCCTCCCCCCCCCACCAACAGTGACCTCCTCTTCCTTACACATTTTAAATAAACTGCAGAGACAAACATGCCATCTCTAACTCATCATCATTCTTCTCACTCTCTGTGAGTTGGAGAGAAATCAGTTGAAATGTGGAGAGCTTCCTTTACTTACGGAGGCTCCCTATGTGGTACTGAAATGGGAGTAAAAACCCAAAAAGGGCATCTAGAAGTTTAAAGGTGGTTGTTCAGTTAGATAAAGCAAAACAAGGGTGGACTTGGCTTGCCACCTAAAAAGGAGTACCTCTGGCCGTCCAGGTATTGATGGACTACACTGCTCATAATCCCCGACCATTGGTCATGCTAGCTGAGGGCTGATGGAAGCCTTGTCATTTAACGTCTGCTCAATATTGATCCAGAGTGGAACTCCAATGTATAGTTAGCAGAGTAAAAACTTAAGCACGTTGCAGGATTCCCCTCCAAAATAGACCAGAGGCAATTATATTTCATCCATCAGAGCTTTACTACTACTGAAGGCAAATGAGCATAATGGTCACAAATCCAATACATTCAGGATTGGCACTGTCCATAAGAAATCCAGTTGCAGCAGACTTGACTTAAACTTACAATGACTTATAAGACTAAAACTACGCATACAGAAACACCACACCAGACGGAAAAGAGATAGAAAGAGAAAGTGAGTGAAATCCAGGCTTCCTTCTGGCCTGTATGTCAGCATGACCTTGACTGAAAGAGATAAGAGAACCAGTTTAAACCAGCTATACTCAGCTTCTCTGAAGGAATAACCCAAACATCATGAACCTTCTGCTTGTTTCTTTCACACAGAGAAGCTTCCAGAACCCTCTTGAATTAAGTAGAATAGGAAAGATCTCTACACATCAGATCAATACTTTCTGTACTAAGAAATGCAAACTGACAGGCCTAACAATGTCCAGGGGGGCACAGATTCCCCATCCTTGACCTAAAAGATAATAATGGTGATGTCAGAATCTATCTGTGGAGAGGTTTCCAGAACTAAGATGTCACCAAAGAGATGGCTGCACTGAACAAGAGGTTAGAGTGGATGACCTCACAGGTTCCTCCCAACTCTGAAATGACATTAATCCATTATTCTATGAAACCCCCTAAAAGCATAGTTAAAATGGGAGGGGGCACTGTATACATGCCTTTCAGCTATATTTATAAACAAATTATGTGTGTTTTATATTGCTGAATGTGTACAGTGCTAATAATATACACTATTGTGTCTTAAACCAACAAACTCTTGAAGGCTGACAATCTGGACATTATCATTCTGGTCACAACAATTAACAATTTTAAATTAACGTCAAGATCTCTGTACTTAATTTCTTTAGTGCAAGGTAAACCTCTCACCATCAATCCTCTCCAAGCCACTTGAACTTATTTTGTGTTATTTATTCATTGCTATATTTGTACACTGGCTTAATCTGGCCCAGTATGGACTGTGCAATTTAATAGGAAAAGGGAAAGTAAGTCATAGGGAGACCGGCTATTGTAAACAACTGGAGTAAAAGAAAAAAGTAGAGAAATAAAAAAGGAATAGTGATGAGCTTCAAATCCCATGTACTAGTATGCAGCACAGTGATTCAGTATTATAGAGTATAACTCAATAATACATAATGACTCTATACTCATTCTAAGGACATTCTTATGTTCTCATGTCTCCCACATGCATCCTTGCTACATATAACCTGCATATAACCCACCGAATGCAATGAATGGGCATTTTGTCAGCAATGAATAATGGCAATTGGTATAATATATATCTAAAATTATTTCAGAAAGAAGAAGATTTCTTGAGAAATCAAGAGTGGGCGGGAAAATATCCTGCAACCGAGGCCCTTTAGGCAATGCTGAGATCACATTCCCCCAAACATGATTTTGATACACTAAATTTGGAATCAATCCTACCAGACAGGATTAGCATACAAACCCCTAATTATGTCCCCTCGGTCTCTATCACTGGAAAAAAGTAGAGTTGCTGGCTATCTACCAACTGCCCGGAGGTACATTACCATCAGTAGAGTAGTTACCCTTTCTCTTTCTTCCTTCTGCAAAGACAGGCATTGGAAGACACCATCAAAGCATTTCAGTCCTTAATAGGCCTACAATCCATTCAATTATTCACGCTTTTAAGAGGCACTTGATTTAGAATGTTGTCGAGCAGATTAAATATTGCAACACTTTCTCTTACTTGAGGATCTTGTTTCTTGAAAACACTGGGCCGCATTTCAAGAGAGAGGAGCTATCTCTAGATTTTAAGAGAACTATGTAAGTTAAGGGGAATATAAGTTGAGTGGTAAATGTGCATAATAACTTGTTGTGAACATTCACCAGGTCTCATGGGGGAATGGGCACAGAATCCTTCCACAATGAGGGGATTTTGTACATTTCCTGGTCAATACAGTGGTACCTCAGGTTACAGACTCCGTTAAGAACTTTGCTTCAGGATGAGAACAGAAATCGTGTTCTGGCGGCCCGGCAGCAGCGGGAGGCCCCATTAGCTAAAGTGGTACCTCAGGTCAAGAACAGTTTCAGGTTAAGAACGGACCTCCAGAATGAATCAAGTTCTCAACCAGCGGTACCACTGTATGCATAATCACCAACAGGACATGGGAAATGTGCATAAATCAACTGAATTTACATCCTCTGGTCATTATGCATAATCTCCAACAGGGTTTGGAGGAATGTGTTTACCATGAGTGCATTTCGTACATTGTACACAAGGGAGTTTTCATCTGGTCAAATATTCCCTCCTCTGTATTTCACATGCTGCTAATAAGCTTTTTCCTAAGCAATGGGATGGGGAAGGCTCCATTTTCAGAATTGTGGGAGGGGAAGGGGGTTCCATTCCCCTCTCTGCAAATCCTCCTTGTGCTGCTCAGCTGACTGGAGAACAGCTGAGAATGGGGTAAATGTTTCAAGATGATATCAGATGATGATGGTCATGCCTGCCAGAGAATATACAAAATTCAGCCCAGATAGGCACATTCCTCAAAGACTGTTGGGGATTGTGCATAATGGCCAGAGAATGTACAAAGTATAAGGTAGCTCCCTATGTTTCTATGTCTACCCAACTCTAGAGCTGGTTAGAGTTTCTCCACCAGTGTTCTTGAAAGCTCCTCAGTTTAAATGGTTTGGGACTGGGTATTAAAATAACCCTGAAACTATTAGAACTTTGGGGGACACTAACATATTCACATTGTATCTCATTAAGGTGCACAAGCTTAAACACTCAGTTTCAAACTGCATTTATCAATTAGTGGGGAGGGAGAGGCACCATAAATTGGGGAGCCTGTGGCCCTCCAGATGTTATCCCATTCCCATTTCCATCAGCCTAGAGATGCAGGAGAAAATCAGTCTTGTTCCCATTTTGATGAGAAATTATCTAATTTGTACTTCTCAAATCAATATGCAAACTTAAATCGTAATTACCCTGTGAAATCCACACTTCTCTGAATTTTGCAATGCATCTCGCCAATGAAATAATGTGTCTGCAAATGCATATATCAGGGGAAAGTGAGCATTAAAATGCAAATACGTGTGAAAATAACACGGAGAAATCCATCACATCAAGAA